CTACTTCTGCTGAATTTTGGTCACAAAATGGCATGAAAGTGCTGAAGTAAACTCTGATTGGTACCTACTGTATTAATTAAAACTTGAGACTCATGTAAACTCAAGCTAGCTAATACATACGCAGGCATTCAACATCTGTGTGGCAGTTGAGCCTATGGCGTTCACTGTACGCACATCTCCAATACTCAGAATTGACACATATTACAAATTTTCTCTGATAAATTATCATTTCACATTTAATTTCTTCTCATGGAAGGCAGCACATTCTAACGAAAGACCACACTGCATGCCTAACGTGGCATCGCCGGCCTTTGCAGTGTATATACGTAATGTGGACTTTTTCATAAACACACTTAATAATACTATGTGTGGACTGTGGACTGCGTCTTTGTGGCAGGTTGTGTTCCTGACAGTATGTGTACAACTACCCAGACTCTAGCACTGTCTACCAGAGAAATGGGAACGACCCTTTAACTATATACAACCAATACAGAGGTACCCTACAAATAGATGTGCAATCATTTTATATGCAACAAACAGTGAGCTAAGGTAGTTAGTGCTTTGCTAGTCCCTAAATACCATTGTAAGCTTTGCAGTTTCGTGTAGCTACACTTGTTTGCTCAAGTAGTCACTAACTATCCTGTGTTGCATCTGGCACAGGATGCCAGTGAGTTTCATTCAGTGGAGGTTGGTCGCTCAGTACTCACAGTCATGGTCAAGGAGTCCCGGAAACCTGTACTACCGCTCGGTCATGCCCGACTTCTCTCTGCCCCTCTGCGGCTCCTGTAATAAGGTCAGCCAGTTGCAACTCCTTTCCCATGCATCTCCGACATACATATAATATCATGCAAGGACCATTTTAAGGGGGTTTGAACACTCGTTGATAGCGATTGGAAAATGGTGTATTTATTAATGCACAATGTGTGCACGTACCATGCGTTTAGTGGCATAGGCTTACTTAATCCACGCCTCACCCCATCCATGTGGCAATCCCAATCTGTGCTATCATGCCCATGCGCAGCGAGGGTTACTGTACTTGGTCTGTCTGTCTGTCTGTCTGTCTGTCTGTCCGCGCGAGTTCTCGCACTACAGGCTACGAGGCGGCCAATGAGTGGTACCAACTGGTTGTGAACAACGAGGAGATGGATAGTAATGTGGCAATTTTCCTGAAACGACTGCGTTCCAGAGATATGGCGTGAAAACAAGCGAAAAAGCCAACATGCGGTCGATCGCGCACGCCGGCATGTTGGCATGCGCACGCGTCATGTCAATTTTTGGCCGGAGCATGCGCTACGCCACATTGGTTGTATGATCCACAGGCTTCTCTTTGGATAAACATGCTGAGCAAGGTATATTCGCAATGTAGCATAATAGTTCAGATGGCGAGCAGTTTGTGGATGCAGCCACGCCTTCCCATCTATAAAACATCTGGCGAGAGCATTGGAGCACAGAAGAGCGGATAGATTGAATAAAGCAAATATGAGAGCCTCTGAAACACCTGAACAATTGCTCTAACCAACTACCCTGTGTTACGGGGAGACTCGTGTTACTGGCTCCGTCGTCCGACAGCATACAGCGAGACTACAACTCGCGCGTTTAGCGCCGAGGGTTTGCACTTTAGTGCTTTTCATTGATATATAAATGTTACTCTGTATTGCTGAAACTTTGGCTGATGAGTGATGACTATCAGAGCGTCGGTAGGCGCTCTATATAGGGATGGCACGGGTGAAATCTCACGTGATCCGCGTACACAACGCCTCAAAACTTGGTGAGAATGACTCACCATTGCTTGAAAATCACTAGCAATAGTCTACAGGCAAATATCTAGCTATACATACCCCCCAAGACTTCCTATGTGCCCTCAGTTCCGCACGAGAGAATTGGCTCTTACGCGATTTGGCGTCATCATCGTCATCTTCATCTTCCGGTTTCTTCTTCAGTAAACCCGCTATCTCGTTACCGAAAATAGTTGAAGTGCTGATATTTCCATCAAACGTCTCCAGGTTCGCCAGAGGTGTGCACGGACATCAAGTGATCGTTTCTTTCTTGCCGCAAGTCACTACGGTAGATCGTTGAGCTCCTCCTCGGTAGTCACTGAACAACGCCATTTGCTGCTAACTCAGCATCAGTGAGCCGCATGCGCCGAGGAGGGCGTTTCCAATGCGGTGCGCGCGCATTACATAGTCTCGCCCGTAAACCGGGTTCACGAGAAAAAGCCAGGATGCCTGCAGAGGAACTCTCATCTTCCAGCGCCTTCTGTAAGTCAGTATACACATTTCTTACTGCCTAGCTTGCTTTTAGCTGTTGATTTGCACGCGGCAGTCTGCGCCGGGTTATGCGACAAATTAGCCTTCATTCTTTGTCCCCTGGGTAGCTAAATAGCTATCATTGTACTGAAGCCTGCCCATGAAATCGTCACCGTGTGCCACAACCTAATTGCGTCCTTGTTGGAGACACTACGCGTACACCCCGCTTCAGGCGCAGCAGCCCATTAGCTACTGCTTTCATCAGTTATCTCTACAACATACCCATGAACATCAGAGTGCATGAAAACGCAGTGTTGTCATAAGCAGTTAGAAATAGTGGAAACAAGTGGAAAAATCATTTCTTCAAAATTAGGGGGGATATAGGGATGGATTGAAGCACCAAAAAGGAAGAAACAAGGGGTCATTACACAGCAAAGATGCACAAAGCTACATGACACCAACCCTATATCTTTGTTTTATTGTTTATAGACAACGTTTAATATGAGACAAAGATATAGGGATGGTGTCATGTAGCTTTGTGCATCTTTGCTGTGTATAATAATGACCCCTTGTTTCTTCCTTTTTATAATGTCTAACAGTGTCTAGTAAAGTGAAGAGGACAATGTATAATTATAGTTGTTACTTCATTGTTTGCTATTTTCTACTGTCATATTGTTGGCACCACATCTCAACTGCCTCAGTGCAAGAATGTTTATTGCTGGGAGCTCATGTCACGACTTCTTAATACGTGCATTATAAATTATGCTTTGCACAGTGAATACTGATATTGCAAGCCTTTATCACAAACTGTTTATGAACCTAATTTTAATGCCACTCATCAGTATCATTGGGTAAAATAATACACTAGTCATCTGTTTAAAAAATTGTTCCTTGTTCCGCTAAGAAGACGGTGGCTGGTTTTCACTGGGACTTGACTTACTGAACACTCTCTTCCCATCTGGATCCCTCCACAGGGTATGCATCTGTAAGGACAAATTTGTTCTAACACACTGTACACAACTTTAATGAAATGGATGGGAAATTTGGTATACTAACAGCGGAATTGTACAGCAGTTATTATAGAGAACAGCGACAATTACCACAATCTACTCTGCTATAGTCTCGTTCACATGTTTAAATGCCATAAGGTATTAGCTAACACACGTGTAGAAAGGAATACTGGGATGGAGGGCGGTGTTGTGTCCTACCTTTGACACAAACACAAATGCCATGATGAAAGTGGTCCCAATGAAGAGCCCGACAGTAAAGACTCCAGAGAATCTGTTTTGCAGGCCACCCAGTGTGTACAGTGAGAGGATGGTGATGGCCAGGACAATGCTGGTGATGTATATGGTGGCTGCAATCCACTTGGAGTCATCCAGACCCTTCACCTTTACCTTCCTGGTGGCAAACGCCAGGAACAGACCACACACCTGACAAATAGGATAGTTAAGGTAAGCGCTGCAAGGAATGTTGTCTATTTGCCTATTTTACTCCCTCTAGCCTAGTTTGTAAACTTAAACTCTCTCTATAGCTATCCATTTGCTTATATACATATTTTAACTCCCTCTAGCTATTCTGCATCTTTCTATATAGTTTGTGAATTTTAACTGTCTCTAGCTATCCATTTGCTTACATAATATTTTAACTCCCTCTACCTATTTGCCTCTCTCTTCTCTAGCTATCCATTTGCCTATTTAACTCTCTTTAGCTTTTACTTGGAGGAGAGCCTTGTAGCCATAGAAGATGCCAAGAAAGATGTCTCTGGCCAGAGAGCTGCACACATACACATAGAACTCTCTCGGTATACCTTGGTGCTGGAGCAGAGGAAATACAGTCGAATTAATGGAGGAGCTTATTATTGACACTTTACATGAGTAACCTTAATGCCACAAAAAGGTTTGTGTCAATGGTCAAACCCTCTGTAAATAGAAAGGGGGTCTAGACAGCTCAAATAATAAGCAAATGGACGATGTAAGTCTTTTTATTAGTGATGAACCAAGTGGGCACAGAAGCTGATTGTGAAGCTGTAAATAAGAATGGAACAGAATTTACGGGCAATTCTCTTGTTAGCAACAACACACAAAAAATGAGCTGACCAGACCCTGTTTTAAGATATGAGAAGACAGCGCTATACATCTCAAAGGGCCTCACTCCTTCCTCAATGTTGCTGGTCTCATCGTCATCGACTCTCTCAGCTCCGAGTTCTCCTCGTGAGCCCTGCACGGCCGAGTAGACCACCAACATGGCCAGATCAATGACCAGGAAACACAGGACCATCAGCGTCAGCATCCAGTCGTGCAATTTCTATGTACACACACAGGTGATGTCAGAATTACAGGGTGGCCATTCAAGATAGTGTGGATGTCTGAGCTAATTATGTTGCCTCCCAGTCCCAGTTGGTTTTTCATGCCCCTGGAGACCTCTCCAGGGAATCATATACATTACAGTAGAAAGGCAGAGACTTGAATGGTGAAAAGTGTTCCTATTATATATGGATATGTGTTATAAAGGTGTGTACAGCAACACGACACATGTAAAAATATTGACACCCTTTTTCTGAGGCAAACCTCAAACCACTACGCTATGGCTACTCCCACTTAGTATGTAGGAGCAGATTAAACCACCAAAGACGCCCAACTCCAAACTGAGTATATGCTCGTTGTGTCAACATATAGCTACTTGGTGTTTCTGAAGTAGAAGTTGAAGAGAAGGCAGACAATGGAGAAGATGATCCCGGCACATGAGAGGAAGGTCAGCACAACAGTCAGAGCCACGTGAACTGCCAGAACCTCCTCATTCACTGTCACTCCATCATATGGAACACCCCCTGTTATTACAGCATTAATATAGTCAACAGGCAAATCCAATTCATTTTAAACACTATGCAAATCCTCGTCATGCCTTCTAAACGCAGTAGTTTCGTGAACATCGCCAGTTATGTGTAGCCCTGCCAACCTGCTCGTAAATTGTATTTGCTTAGCGTACTATAGCAAAAATGTGGTAACAGACACACACACACACCCACGAACCAAGTACTCACTGTAACACTATTTGGTTGCTTAGTGTACATGCAAAAATGTGAACGACACACACACACACGAACCAAGTACTCACTGTAACACTATTTGGTTGCTTAGTGTACTATGGCAAAAATGTGGTAGCAGACACACACACACACACACGGACCAAGTACTCACTGTGGTTGCTTAGTGTACTATGGTGGTAACACACACACACACACACACACACACACACACACACGAACCAAGTACTCACTGTAACCCATTTGGTTGCTTAGTGTACTATGGCAAAAATGTTGTAGCAGACACACACACACAAACGGACCAAGTACTCCACAGTGGTTGCTTAGCGTACTATGGTGGTAACACACACACACA